AAAAAAAAAAATATATATATATATGCATTTGGGGGCCGGCAGGTGATGTGGTGGTTAAGGCACTGGACTCCCACATGACCGACCATGGTTCAAGTCCTGTACCTAGTGGTTTGCTTTCTTATTTTCCCTTTTTCTCTATTTGTCTCTCTCTGGTTAAATTAAAAGATAATAATAACAAAGTTAAATAAATAGAAATATTTTTTTTAAATGCACTTGTGCATGCATGCCTGAAATTATGACGAGATGGAGGAATGGAAGAGAAGACATTGTGGTGTGACCACGCCTCACTGGGGTTGCTTTCTCTCTCCCTCTCTGACTCGTTCATGTGACTTCTGTCCTCTTCCTCCCAGAAAAAGAAATACCATGCAGTGACTTGGAGGCAGGGGCGGGAAGGTGAAGTGAAGGCAGCGAACCTCTAGCCTAGGAACAGAAGGAGCGGGAAGAAGGGAGGGGGGGAAAGAAAAGGGAAAAATATTTTTTCAGACCTGCGCAGAACGAGCAAAAACCCAACCTCGATGCTCCGCTGTTTTCCCTCCACCTTCCTGACACGACGTGCCAGTGTACGACCTGGAGCGGTGTTTTCTGAACTGCAGGCCAAGACCTGGCAGTGGGCCCTGGAATTAACACAGGGAGCACAGCCTTATAAAGTAAAAGGAGGACAGAGCGTTAGGTACGGCATCGCACTTGTCATTTACTCGGAGGCCATCTGATAAAACCTGCCCCGTATATTCCAGACCACAGTGTACACTGTATCCTTAGTCTGAGTGGTGGCAGTCCATGTGGAAATCCACTGGCCTTCTTTGTTTTGTTTTGCGGGGGAGGTTTTTGCTATAGGGCGCATGCACTCGCCAGAAAGATAGAGACAGACAGAGAGACAGAAAGTGAGAAATCACCCCCCAGGGGAGATGGCCACACCACAGTTCCTTCTCCTCCATTCTCCTCTCGGGATCTTGGGCACGCACGCACACGCACCCGGCGTGAGTTTAAGCCACCGGGTCCGGGACTTGAACCGCGGTCGGCTACATGGGAGTCCAGCGACATAGCCATTTCGCTAACTGCTGGTCCCTCCACTGGCCTTCTTAACTAAACAGCCCATTTGTTTTCTCCCTGCTCTGCTTGTAACCAGCTTGTTAAGAAACAAACTTGGGACCAGCAGATGACGTAATGGTTACATCGCTGGATTCCCACATGGGTCCAGTCCTTGACAGTTCAAGTCCTGGACCCGGTGGCTTAAACTCACGCCGGGCATGTGTGCGTGCGTGCCTAAGATCCAGAGAGGAGAATGGAAGAGAAGTAATTATAGTGTGGCCACCCCCCCGGGGGGTGATTTCTCGCCGTCTGTCTGTCTCTGTCACACTGACAAGCATACATACCCTAAAACCAAAATCTCTCTTAAAAAAGAAAAAGAATACAAACTTGGGGGACCAGCAGATAGCAAGCAGATAGTGTGAGGGTTACATCCTGGACTCCTACATAGTCAACCATGGTTCGAGTCCCAAACCTGGCGACTTGAAACTCATGTTGGGTGCATGTGTGTGTGTGCCCAAAATCCCAAGGGGAGAATAGAGAAGGGGTTGTGACATGGCCATACCCCCCGGGGGAGGAGGGTGATTTCTCGCTTTCTTTCTCTCTGTCTCTCCAGAAGGTCATTTGTCCTACAGCAAGTCTCTCTCTTAAAAAAAAAAAAAAAAAAAAGCAAACAGGCATGGGGCCAGCAGATGATATGGTGGATGGTGGTAGTGACACTAGACTCCCCCATGGCCAACTACTATTTGAGTCCTGGACCTGCTGGCTTAGGGCACATGGCATGCATGCTCGAGATTCCTGGAGAAGGGATTGCGGCCCAAGGGGGTGATTTCTCACTTTCCCTCTCTCTGTCTCTGTCTCTCTCCAGTGAGCACACAAACACCCTATGGCAAAAACCTATTTAAAAAAAAATGTAAACTTCTGAGTATCCATATCCTCTTTATTGGTACTCTTCTATTGGATAAGTTCCTCAAAAGTTATGTGAGCAGGTCAAAATGTTTGTCTTAGTTTTTGTTAACTTCATGAGAAAGCGCAGAAACACCCACGTGGCCAGCTACACATGCAGGAGAGACAAGCTCTCAGGCCAGGTCTTGTCACCCCAGTCTCCATCCCCTGGCCCTCCAGCTCATGATTTTAAGCGTGTGCTCGACCGGCATGTTTTCACACTCGCGGATCGGGGCCCGGTGGCATGTGCCGGCGCTGCGGGCCAGCGGCCACTGCATGCACTCAGGCTCGGCCTGTTTTGGTCTTCCCAGTCACGTTGGTGTCCGTTCTAAGTGGATCGGAGTTACCCGCACTCCCGCAGCAGGGCAGGGGTGCTGCTCCCTCCCAGCGCTGAGAGCCCGCCAGTCTGCGCTCATTCATGGATCAGGGTCATCTCACTATTGCTCTAGTTCCCTGGACTACGCTGAGGTTTCCACGCTTGGGGGTTTTGTCCCGTGAACTGTCCATCCGTACCCTTTACCAGCGTCCTACTGGCTGAGTCTTGTTATCCTCAGCCCCTGGCGTCTGTCGCTGTCTCTTTAGAGATATCGACTACCGCGGATTACACGTATTTTTCCCTAGGCAGTTGTTTTGTCTTGTGGCTGGGAATCTGAACTTTTTGTTTCCTTTTGTTGGCCACAGGGCACAGGTGCTTCCTGAGTGAGACACAGAGAGACAGAGAGACAGAGAGAGGACAGAGAGGGAAAGATTTCCCCCCCCCCCAGAGGGGATGGCCACACCATTCTCCTCTCAGGATTTCAGGCGCGCGCACACACACACACACACACACACACACACACACCTGCTGGCCCCTAATCTGGTCTTCTTTCACGTTTGCTTTCTTATGGAAGAAAATGAAACCGCAACTATTTGAGAGAGTAAATCCTAATTACAAAGGTAGTATCAGTAAGCACCAGCTTGGCTCTTAAAGCAGACTTGGTCGAGAATGAACACGCTTTTTCTTTACCAAACTCGGTTACCACAACCTGAAGACGTTTGCAGTGTGTGACTCAGCTGCTCCACCGGGATGTTTGGAGGGGGCCAAGTAAATTCTCTCCTGTGTATTTGTGCGTGTTTTCTAGAGTTGATGTACTGAACATAATAAGTCCTTAAAAGTGAGGGAGCGGGAACCAGCAGTTAGCGTAATGGCTATGTTGCTGGACTCTCATGTAGTCGACTGCAGTTCGCGTCCCAGACCCGGTGGCTTAGAACTCACGCCGGGCGC